AACGGCAAATATTCAACATTCGGCCATGCGCATGAATACAATGGCAGAGCGTACACGTCAGCACTTAAAAGTGTTTACCAGTTTTACACAGTGCCTGGCACATCTATCAGATGATTTACTTAAACAATTAACTTCACATCGAAAAACAATGCTAAATTATTAATAATAATGAGCAAATACATTGGTGAGGGTAAAGGTGCGATTTATGTACACACGTTTTTTTTAACATACCAATAAACGCATTAAAATGACTGATAACCCAATTAAATTATTGGTTGCTAATACAGTCAAATGAGTCAGAGCCAACAGATATTAAATGAGGAATAAAACAAAAGCTCTGTGTTGTATTATACACTGGAATCTGGGCACAAGCACAGTTCTGATGTAAGCAACGCTTGCTTACTGTTGAATGGGGGGGGGGGGGGGGGGAGTCAGAGGACAACTTCTGATACAAGCACACTACTCAAGATGTTAAGGACAGCTGGACTTGCTCCCGATGGGTGTTCTTCCTATGCAGACGTCTACCGTATCTGGAAACGAGCTTGCATGAATTCAGGTAAGGCCGTCACCGCGAGTGGTGCAAAATGCACGCTCAATCTTAAATAGAGTGCGTGCTTGTCTGCTCATTTAAAATTTGCCAATGCCCTCCGCCTCCCCCCCGACTCTCACGGGAAGAAAAAAAAACATTTGGGTTGGCACCACTTCAGATCCTTCTCATATGACTCACTTTAAGCCAACAAACACCTCGGCAAAGTTAAACTGATGTTGTTGGCACAGCGCGATCGATGTGTGGAGAGACCCGGCGATTATTTCAGGGACGGATTACTAGATTATTACTTTCGCATCGATCGCGGAAGCCTGGCGGACAGCGGGAAGCCAGGTTTACAGATTCCCAGGCGAGGCTTAAGGCACACGCACCGCTGCAAGCCAGTCGCACCTCGGCCAGCCTCCTAGCGAAAGGACCGGAGGCACGAGGTTCTGGACGCAAAGCCAGCGATGGGTATTGCGCCGTTGCGTCCACGCAGGCGATCGCGCGGGATGAACCCGGTTCTCGGAAGGTAAGCGGGATTTGAGCCGTGGGTAGTTGGCTGAATGCGGTGCGAAAGAAGTTCAACAAATACGGATACGCATGCTGTTGCGTGCGTTGCGGGCGGCACAGGGCGTCAAGTACCGCGAAAACACAACGGTTCGGCGCTCGCCTCACCCTCACCGACCCAAATTGACCGGCGAAGCGAAGTACAGTCGTGTGCATTCCTCACGGCCCACGAGGTTTGGAGGTGCTCATCCAGCAGTGCATTGACAAAAAAAGAGGCTGTAGAGGCGCATAACACTACGATTTCACTCCAGTCGACCGTAGCCCAATGGGTAAAATAGAAAGGCATTTTGTGTCGACAGCACACACACACACAAACACACGGGAAAAAAACACTCGTAATAAATAAAAGCCGTATTACTAAACCGCATTGTCGTGGTAATATACATCACTCTCGAGGTCAACTTGCCTGCTAGTCAATTTGCTGAAAAAAATCGCTGCCCTCAATGGCTCGCAAAGTGTGGGGAGGCCCTCATCCAGCGGGGGGATTAACAAAGCTGACCGTACGGTGGTAGTGACGCGCAGCTAATCGAGTACGCAGGCGGTGCGATTGTGCCTGGGGGCCCGTGGGCCAGAGAGGTCCTCCGGGTGCCGGGCCACGAAACGGTGCCCTCATGTCATCCCTGATGCCAGAGCTCATGCCCCAAGCGCGTGACTTCACCGCAGCAGCGTAGGAAACAGAATACTCTTAACGGGTGGATTCTATTTCGATTTAAAGCTTTCGTGACTGCAAGGATTCATCTTCTTTGGTTCTTTCGGTAAAGTCACGTAGAATGAGAATAAAACAATAAAACAAAATAAGACACTAAAATTCTCACGACGTTTCGGCCACAACACAAGTAGCCTTCTTCAGGTGAAGGAACAGAACTGTCGGGACGACAGCGTTGTCGTCCCGGCTACTTGTGTTGTGGCCGAAACGTCGCGAGAATTTTATTGCCTTATTTTGTTTTATTGTTTTATTCTCATTCTACGTGACTTTACCGAAAGAACCAAGAAGAGGGTGGATTCTAGTGTCAAGCACATAAATGGACATAATCCATACAGCCCTCTTGTTTCATGTAGGCTGGGGGCTTTCTTGTATTCACTTGTCGTGGTGAATGTGTATATTGTCTTGCTCAAAAATAGAATATATTTTTCCAATGTCACTGGAAGTTAAGATGCTTCGCTTGTTTTGTCCCACTACATCAATACAAAGCCCCATTTTCCTTTTTTTTCGTGCAAACAATTTTCGACTTTTATATCAGAAGAAAAGAATTACCCTCTTGTCACCTAGAATACCGAAGCCATAATGAGTCAAGCATTGAACAGCCCTGGCAACAACTGCAGGCGGTGCCATTGGTGTTCCTTGCTACACGGCGCTCATCTAATAACTGCACTTAATTACGAAGATCTGCGTCCGTGTGGGAACAAGGCAAATTACACACCCCCAGTTCATGTTAATAACTTTACGCACGTGTGATTCCTCAGTCTTATGAAGATATGAAAACTGAGCTTGTAGTTACCGTGTAAGGAAATGAACAATCGAATTGATTCTATTTTTGATGAGCGAAGATGAGGGAAAGCTGCCCGCATAATTCATTACGTGGGTCACAAAACCTATGACAATTTTTGGGAGATTTTGGAAGGTGCAATTTAAAAGTCTACGGTGGGATAACAGTGACCCTAAGAGAGGGATTGTAAAATATATATTTAATGGCTATGAAAAGAAAACTGTAGAATTCTAGATTTGAAGCTTTCGTGACTGCAAGGATCCATACTCTTTGGTTCTATTCGGTAAAGTCACGTAAAAGTATAAAACAAAAATAAAAAATTCATGACGTTTCGGCCACAACACAAGTGGCCTTCTTCAGGTGAAGGGACCAGACTGTCTCGAGGACAGTGCTGGAGTGAACACAGCCAAGCTCAGACCGCGACCTTTAAGCTGTGTGAGAGGAAACAAGGCGCCTTGACAAAGGAATTAGCATAAAAATTTGCATTTAATTGGCGGACTTAGCATGATGAACGGTGTAGAGGGGGTGAACATGTGCAGACCGGCGAGGGGGGGAGGGAGAGTTTACATATTGATGGTGTCAAAAGGGAATTTAAACAGCTGCGAAAGTTTGGGATACTACCACTTGAAAAATATAATGTACCATTGAAAATTAGCTTAATGTTTGGTTCGATTTAGAACATCTTTCCAATGGTTGCTTAATTTGAAACCATCTTCTCGGTTGAAATTGTGTCTGTGTTTGTAAATCTGAATTGCCTCGTGAACAAATCTCTGATAAAAAAGCCGTGGGTTTGCAAAGAACCTTGGTATCGGAGAAAACGATATCGTGATCACCCACAGCATTGTAACAGTGATCAGCTACAGCAGAAGAATTCGTTCTGCCGTGTTTCAAATCTGATTTGTGCTCGTGAATTCGGTCAGAGACATGTCGTTTCGTCTCCCCGATATAGCAGTCACCACAGGTGCAGATCAATCTGTAAACTCCGGGGTACTGTAAGTCAGGAATGACATCCTTCACAGAAGGGATCAGGTCACGGATTTTGTGTACTGTATTGAACCGGACCTGGATCTTGTGTTTGTTTAGAATTTTGGAGATCTTTTTAGTAACGCCTGCTATATATGGCAGTGTGATGGTTTTGATCGGAGTATCAAGTGGTTGTTTCTGTATGGAGGGAGAAACAGCTTGGCGGATGGTACGGTCAGAGTATCCATTCCATTTGAGGGCCAGATGCACATGTTTTAATTCACTGGTCAGGTGGTGTTGGTCCGAAATGCAATGAGCCCTGCTTAAAGGTCGCGGTCTGAGCTTGGCTGTGTTCACTCCAGCGCTGTCCTCGAGGCAGTCTGGTCCTTTCACCTGATGAAGGCCACTTATGTTGTGACCGAAACGTCGCGATTTTTTTATTTATTTTATTTTCATTTTTTTTGTTTTATACTTTTACGTGACTTTACCAAAAACTGTAGAACTTTAACTTTTGGGGAGGAAAAAAAATCCCCAAAAAAGACAAAAAATATCCAATTAGTACGAATTGCCCGTGGTGTGATGCAAGCGAGGGCCTATCAAGGCATGGTCAGCACATGAGGGAGGACCAGTTTAGACAGAGATGTCAGCTGGGGCCGGAATTTGTTGTGCAGTGCACCGGCCACTGTTCCCCGGCATCCTGCATAGACAAAGATCCGCCCCGTGCAGCTGTTGGGTTCAGTGCTGTTAGGGAACACCTATTAAGGCAGCACGGTACACAATTGGGGTGTTAGGCAATTCAAACAGCACAACATTTATTTAAAATAGAGAATCCCCCATGTAGCATTTAACAGACTGCAGGGGACAAGTGGTGTTAGCGAGCACCTACGAAGGGGGACACACTACACAAGGGGATGGGGTGGTCAATGTCACACCCCGGCTGCTTTTGTATCCCCAGTGCTGATGTGTATATATATGTACTGGGCCAGATACTCATTTAAGACCGAGTCAACCTAGAGGAGGCCCCAGACGGATTCAAATATTCGCCACTGTTATCGGTCACAAGTGGGAATCAAACTGGGGTCACCGGGTTCGTAGCGCGGTGTGCTCGCCACTGCACTGATGTATACGCACATACACAGCCGCAATAAAACAACTCAGGACAGGTGAAAAGGCTGCATCACATTCCGTTAGGATGAGCCATACTTGTTGATATTCAGCGAACACATTTAAAAGGCCAATTCAAATAACGCTAATTAGGCCATACTCTTGGGTTCAGCCAGGAGGAACTATCGGTTTGTTCCATGCATTCACGCGTGTGTGCACAGTGTACCTGGCCCTGGGCGCAGCTAGCTGCTGCTGATTAATAACACAGAGAGCTATGAACTTATAAAGGCCAACCTGGCCACAAAGTTCCATTTCGCTGGGAATCAGAAACCAGATGACTCACCCAATTCCCTCCCTCCCTCCCTCGAGCCAAGCCAATATCTGTACAGAGAACACGAAAAAAAGACAATCCTCGGATACATGTACTACAAAAAAGGCTTTTTCAATTATGCCCTTCAAAGTGGAGGGTCCTATGTCGACCATTTTTTTTGTAATGCCTATTTTGCATATCTGGTACATCCGTAGAATTAAATTAGATGGGCCAAGTTGCATCCTTCCAGGCTGAAAAGTCACCAATTTCCATGCTTCTGTCGATGCTTTCATGACATTGGGTATTATATAGGACACACGAGTGATGGGACGTTGCCGTGGTGTAATGGTTAGCAATTGGACTTGAAATTCAGAGGTCGCCAATTCATACACCCAACTTGGGAGTTGAAACAACGGGGGGGGGGGAGGGGCAGGTTTCTCCAATCGCCCCGAGGAGGTGCGGGCTAGAACGGCGTTGGCGAGGCGTGGTGGTGACATCGGTGACTCCGGCCGCGGTGACATCCTGATCTTGAAGAGCGGAGCTAGGACTTGGAACCGGAGATCTCGTCCCACAGGGGCTGAAGCACGAAGGCGGCGAGCAGCACCGCGTACATCGCGAGCGGCAGCGCCGCATCGTACAACACGGAGGTCCACCGCGGCGTCCCGTCGTTCATATCCTCCTCGGCCTCCTCCAGCTCACGCTGCAGCAGCATCAACTCCCCCTTGTTCAGACCCCGTGGTTGCTTGACTTTCCCCGCAGCCATCTCTCTCTACACGCGCAGCGTGGGGGGGGGGATGGGGGAGGGGTCTCACTTTAAGTTTGGTCGTTTGTGTTCGTTTTTGTCGTTGGTAGCGTTAAACGTGTTTGGGGAAAAAAAAACATGCATATACGCACGGATTATGTACCGCCTTTCAAACAGCTGTAAGGGCTAAATAAACCCAATTGCATATTTGCAAACAGTTCCCTTTTTGCTCCAATTTGTGTCTCCACAATTTTTGGGCATGCATCTGACTCATTTGGGCAGTTTTCAATAAAGGCAAGTCCCTAAGAGCAACACAACTCTAAACTAAAATTTCATTCATATTGGATCATTGCAACCGTCTTACGGCCGGACAAAGAACAAAGTCAATTACGTTCTCAGCCTCAGTCGCAGCACGCTCAGAACTTGTGTAGTTTTACACGTTTGTGTCACGTGGGTTTGCTTTTAAAAGGTGTTGGGGGGGAGGGGGGGACAAGTTTACATTTACCATGAATACACGCACTGAATGTCACGCATCACATTTGTCATCACGTCAGCACAAAATATAATCTTGCCTGATATGATATTTTGAGCACCGGTGCCTTTCACCGATGCTAGGGATTTCGTGGCAAGATAGGATCGGCAATGCAAAAGTCTGCAAGAGCACATCGCAGGTGACTTTTGTCGATGTGCTGATGCTAAAACGGCTGCGCAGCGGTGGGGGCACTCGTGCAGGAGGGGCGAGGCCGTGGTTTCCATGAGTCCGATCACCAAGAGGACAACATAAGAGAAGATGGTGGGAGACTGAAGGGGAAGATCTTGGACGTTGCATGCCTCCTGTCCAGTCGCTGCGGGATCTTGCCACGGGTAGAAATCACTTGCTTTTGTGCGTTTAGTTTGTTGTCTTTTCCCCGCACTTACGATTAGCACAGTTGGCTATGTACGGCGCGCGAAAGAAGTTCAACATTGGCGAAGGGTGGCGGCATAAACAGCTTTGGCCATGACGACATCTGGATCTTGATCGGTGATACTCAAATAACAACTAATTAGTAAGTGTTAAAGGAATTGTATTTCTTAACTTTACTGACTATTTCCTAAATCAAATTAAGGCAGCCCTAACCAGGGCTTCCACGACTGCAACATTCAGGTGTTTGCCAAAGGCAAAGGCTACTGCTCCGTGATCTGATCACAGGCAGTGTTTAATATTCTGCAGATTATTCTGCACCATCGTGTGATTGAATGGAATCTGAGGTAGCGGCGATGTGAAGAGCGGTTGGGAGAGAATTCACAATCATCTGCAGGAGTGTTTCCCAAACATCAGTCCTGGCAACCCCCCATGGTGCAACTTTCTGTGTGTACCAAACATCCGGTGCGTGCGGCATGTTGCAGCTTCATTCGCAACCATTCGTATCCCATGTTCAAGTCTTCTTCTGAACGCTGTCGTTTGTAAATTACTTGTTAAAATATTTCACCAATATGACTAGTTGCAGGGCGAAGAGTAAAAAAATGGAAGAGTGAAAATAAGCACAATGCCATCGCCAAAATAATATTGGAGTTAAGTTACAAATAAATATACCAAAATTTATTTTAAATAACGTAAAACATAAACGCCACTGTTATATGTAAGCTACACAGACCCTTAAATTTAGTTGTTACCAACTCACACCAAACTTGCAATCTAGAGGTCGGCGGTTCAACTCGATCTCCGAGCGTGAAGATTCTTAATTGCCCCCTGCCTATATCCACACCCAAAAGAAAACATATATATATTCTGGATAATATTGGTCGCGAAAGCCGACGTGTTAAACTGGGTACACCACAGTTCGTCAGACGACTGGTTGTGTCTGGTGGGGTAAAGTGTGGGTACTCCAACCTCTTCCAAGATTCCTCGCCACTTTAGTGGAGGCCTTTCTGCCAGTAGTAGCGCGTGAACATTTACCCTTTACCACCAAAGGCTTTAATTTCTTCAGGAGGGAATACAAATGAACACAAACGACTCTTCGCATTGATTTTAAGTGCAGACTTTGTTACACTTTTAAGGGGAAACTCACAGGCAAAAAAAAACGCATTCAATGCGTTGCAGATACTTCTTCCATCGAAGATTACGTGTTTAGCTGCTGGAAAATGTAGATGGTTTTGCCGAAGCCAGGATCAAGCATTTCTAGAGGCACGCTTTGGCTAAGCTGAAGACAATGCTATTATATGAAAAATATTACACAGGCCTGTTCACAGCAATCCACTTTAAGCATGCTGACTGTAAGACTACATTAATTTGCACCTGACACTGAAAAGGTAGAGATGCATGTTAAAGCTCGCTCCAATTCAGTTTTTTCTTCGGCAATATTTTATGGTAATGTGAAGCGTAATTAAATATGCATGTTACATTTGACATGTCTTTAAAATAACATGTAGACTACGCTTCCTTAACCCCTTGAACATGCCCGCACCGCAAACGCTTTCGCCCCACCCGTAATGTATGAACAAAGCCACTCGTTACATTCGACAGTTGTTTTTTTGCTTGAAGTTCAAACAGCTCCACCAGTCACCGTGCCATGAGTCTCAACGTCCCAGGCAATAAATGGTGCAAAAAAAAATAATAAACATTAATCTTTGCCTTCGCTCTGTTTTTTTTTTTTTACACGTCAGCTCTTACCAGAAGCACGGAGTCCAAATCCTTCTCACTTGCTCTGTTCAAGGGCTCGTTGGGCATCCTCTCGTCATCGAGAGCTACACTAAGATAACGAAACACATGCCTGCAAATAAGACAAATTGCAAGCTACTTTACACCCAATTAAATCAATTCGAAAACTCCCGCAAATTTGATGGCAAAACGGTTAAGCCCTCTATCAAGGAAAACTTTCCCAACGCATTACCGTCATTGCTGGGCTCGCCATTAACATGCCATGAGCCCGAGCAATTACACGGCTCTTCCACAGATTCCAGCCTTTCGACATTGTAATTCACCAACTGGAGCATATCAAAACAGACACCGCGGTTAATGACTGAACTGGGTTAACATCTGAGTCGCTGAATTGCCGGTGTCCGAGAGATACCGAGCGCAAGCCTACACTCTTACGTAACGGGGTTCTTTGACCTCTGTGTATGCCCCGTGTGTACGTGTGTGTGTGTGCTTAAGCTTAATACGTTCCGACGGCATAAGCCGTTGGAGTTTTGCAACGACAAAAAAAAACTACGAGCGATGTTAATTGCGGCATTCGTCTTCACTGATGAAGAACTGCCCGCAAAAAATGTACCAGCATGAATTTGGCATGTGCAGATCAAAATAAGAGTGTCGTGAAGCCAATTCCAGGTCTGAGAAGTATCGGGTTGAGTCTCAAGCGACGAGTATTAATCTGTCGTTTGAAAAGCGGATGGGGGATCGCCGCCTTTTACTGCGTGGATAAGAGGTCGCTTTTAAGGGATCTAAGAGGCACTTCTGTGATATCCGCTTCCACGGGAGCCGTTTTCTAACAGGAAGGTTTTCCACTCGCTCTGCGAGAGATCCGAACGGTTTCTTCCTCCTCATGACACGACCGCCAGTCGCACAATCGGGATAACAACTGGGGCAAATGACAAACATTTTTGTTTAAAAGAGTTTGCAAACTTTACTTCGTACTTATCAGACGTGCTTCACTGGAGCGGAGATTATGGGACAGCTATACCGATCAATGAAAAGGGTTAGTACCGGCGAGTCTCAATATTTCATTTCACAACCTTTTAAAAGGTGCCTTAATGTGATCCTGCGAATCCTCCCCCTTTTTTTTCAGATGAGGGGGCCCTTTTCGACTAAGCCCGAAGCGTTCTCGTAAACCGAAGCAAATTAAATTCCATTGTTGGTTACACATGGGCGCGAGGTCCCTTAAGTCATTTTTTTTCCCTCCATTTAACTCTCCATTCATAATGCAGGGGGAAAATAACACGTTACATTCGAAACAGAGCCAAAGTAGTCCCCGGCAACTTGACGCTCCATTTAACGCCACGCAACTGTGCGGATCCCGGCAGCCTCCGTCAAGACTGGTGCGTGTGCCGCACTGAATCTTGGCACGGCACAGCAGTGGCACAGCGATGATTTTTTTCCCTTTCGTTTTCTTTCTCAGTCCGCTTGTCCTGGTGAGGGTCGCGGCAGCAGCATCTTGAGCAGTGTGGTGCAAACCTCCTTTTCCATTCTGACAGACTCTATTCTGATTGTGATAATAAAACCTATTCCACAAGACGAATATGATTGCATGTGCATTACCTCAATGGGCTAGACTAGCGGCATACATTATTGCACTTTTGTAAATGCGTGCGACAAACACCAAAATAAATGTACAAGTGCAAACTGCAAATTATTTTATGGTAGGTCGTGCCAAGGTGCGATAACCCGATTAAGCCATGTGACTTAAGGCTACGTGACATTACCGAAAGACCCTAAGAGCATGAAATGGATGTTTGCTAATTTATTAAACTTGAAATGCAGACTCTGTAAAGATAAATTATAGCTTCATATAGTTATCCGATGTTTATTTGGGTTATTCCACGTGTTGGTGGTCTCAGCTTGGTACAAATGCTTGCTCAAAAAAATGCATTGTTAATGTCATTGGATTCCACTTAATTTGGCTTATTCTGGCTCTCGCTGACATCGAGTGGTTGCACTACAACCTGCATGGATTGAAAATGGAAATTTATTTTTCTAATTAGACGACAGCGGGGCAATGGTCGCTACTCACACCTCTAATCAAGAACTGTGGAAGCAGTGAGGGCGTGTGGATCGCATAGATGTTGCGAAAGTCCCTTCCCCCGTCGGCGCTGAGGACATGCCATAACCCTGGCTTGCCAAGACAAGCCAGGACAGCAAAAATATTGGCTCCACCCATTCCTTCGGGAAGGGAGAGTGTGTTTTCTCCTCTCACATGTAAACACTCGTTGATTGGCCGATAACACCTCGATATATAAAGGTCCACTCAGCGGGGGCAACTGTCGACGTTGGCTCACCACCTGGTGTGCCTTCCTGCTTATCTGTAGTTCGTGACTCTGAGCGGTTCTCGGAG